TATAGAGAATGGGGACTTGAATCCCATTTCATGATCAATGTAGAATCATGTGCAAATGTATTATTTTATTTAATTCTAAAATAAATTATTAAGCAAATACAATCACATAGCAACAAGTGGCAAGAGGGGAGAATGGGTTAGGTGAGGACTAATATCCCATGGGGGGACCATTGCCTTGCTCCCCAAGGCAAGCCTTGAGGCCTTGGTCCCCACCTCTCCTAAACCGCCACACACAAATGCAGTTGGCCTGGTAGCCAGCTCGCACGCCAGCACACCAGCCAGCTCAAGATGCCAGCACGCACTGGCCCCAGCACGCCCAGCATGTGCGTGCTGCTTGCTGCTTGGTCGCTGGGCGCTGGGCGCTGCTAGCGTAGTGCTACTGCCTAGCTAACGCGCACACACATGCACAACCATGCTGGTTGGTGTGTAGTGTTGCTGCCTAGCCTCTCGCACACACATAGCATAGCCAGCATGCGTGCTGCTAGCAAGTGATGAGTTACATCTATGTCACTCTTAGGGGTAGCATTTAGGTCTTTTTCCTCTTACTTTTCTTAGTTTTTTCCACCTCATTTATCCTCTTATGGCTTCTTTATGTATTGATGAAAAGTAATGCTTATTTGCGCTTATTTTGATAATCCTTATGCATTATTTTATCATCCCCATGCTCTCGTGAACTTTGGTATCTTCTGCAGGTTCCATGATGGTCCTATGCATGGTGGGAGGCCCGTTGGCCAAGTATGGAAGCCATGGACAAAGGCAAGAGGAGCAAAAGGGAAGGAGAGGAAGCAAGAAAAGGGAGTGCAAGAGGAGGTGTGGCCGAACCTCTGAAAGGTCCGGTCGAACCTAGGTGTGGTCAAACTTTTGAAAAGTTTGACCGAACCTCCTGGGTGCAGTGAAGGCAGTGTCAAACCAGTTTTCAGCAATTTTGCAGCAGAGGTCGAACCTCAAAAGTTCGACCAAACAAGGATCAGGGAGGTTCGACCGAACCTACACAGAGTTCGACCGAACCTACCATGAGTCCGACCGAACCTACCCAGAGTTCGGTCAGACCTTTTCCCGATCTCAGCCAATTTTGTACGGACTATTTAAGGTCCTTTTGAGATCGTTTTTCGGGGGGAGAGAAGAAAAACAGTAGAATAGTTTTCAGCAAAAAAGATACTCTCTCTTAGTTAGCAACTTCATTAAATTAGTTGATTTAGTTTTAGAAACTCTCAAAATCTAATCATTGTAGAAGCAAATTTCAAGATTTATCTCAAGAATTTCAGCAATTATCCAACATTTTTTAAGCTTCAATAGTAACTTCTTTCATTTGTCCTTCATTATTTTCTGATTTTATTTTTTGTTTTGTAAGCCACTTGATTTTCTCTCAATCTTGATATATTGTTGTTGCATGTTAGCTTTGTCCATAGATAATCACTTGTTTTTCCAAATCTTAGAATCGCTTATAATCCAAACTTGGAATTTGCATGTACTCGCAATGAATTGTGAGTAGTCCTCTTGGCTAGGGGTTGGATGAAACTCAACCTATTGGTGATTATGTGAGTTTGGGAGTGATTTTAATGATGGATTGCGACTAAACTTGATTATATGGGATTGCTTGTTAGTTCTTCATGATAGGAGTAATTAACCTAGATTATTGAACTTGATGGCATGAAATGTTTGGTTCGACATGGAAATGTGAGTTGAATGTTTCATTACCTATTTCAATATGATTATGTATCTTTTGTTGCTAAGTTAATGAGGGATCTAAGCTTAGTAATCTGAGTTGTTTTCATATCGTTTGATGTTGATCTTACATGTGGTCTTTGCTATTCCATTACCCTCATTCCTCCCTATTTGCCTAATTGCTATTGGTTGAGTGAATCCCATTCCCCTAGTGTTTTAATCCCTTGAATTCAACCTTTAGTTGTAGTTTGTTAGTTAATCACCACTTATACCTTGATTTCGATTTAGCTTGAGCATTAAGATTATTTAGCATTTGATTCCCGTTCTCCGTGGACCGAACCTTTGCTTGCCATTGTACTTGTTTGAGTGAGGTGTTTGTTATAAATGTGTTTGAATGAGCCTAAATTGTGCGACCGATTTAGCGCTCGTTAGCAAGCCACGCATGCTGGGCATTGCCTCGCCAGCCATACGCACAAGAATGATATTCCTTGGTGCTGTGCTAGCGATGCACACGCACATGGCTACGTTGCCTAGTGCTGTGCTATGTGCTGCGATGGTGCGATGAGCTGTGCGAAGGCACATACGCTAGTGCCTAGCACTGCGATGGTGTTGTGCTATGCGAAGGCACACACGCACGCACACACGGTAGTTCCTAGCACAGCGATGGTGTTGCTATGTGTGTCTAGCACACAAGGTATTCCTAGCCTAGCGTCCACATGGTTAGGCCATAGTGATGCTACGGCTACGCTCGAACTTGTTGCTTATGATTTTGCGACGCTCGGTTTTGACGCCCTAAGCTCAATATCCGACGTCTGTGTTCGTAAAACTCCGACAACTCATCGAATCCTTTGGATTGATTTTTCGTCTCGCATCGGTTGTTCGATTGGGTTCAACCCGAAAGGTTCAGTTAAGATTAAGCTGTAATATTAATTGTACCTTAATATTACTGATCGGAAGCGGCCTCCACCTAGGCATTCTGATCACTTGACCTTACTGAAGAATTAGCTCTGTAATAATTCTGAACCCTCTATCAGAATAATACACTTGTTGGAAGGACACCATTCCTTTCATTTTTGTAGATAGATTGATCATAGAACCCTTCAAAAACAAGCCATAATACCGGATTCGACCCTAACTTAATTGCCACTATCTAAATTAAAATTGATAGAGCTAGGTTAGGATATAAAAATTATATATTTGATCTAGGTAGTAGTAACGACCTATTATCCCCATATCTAATTTTTGGCGTCGTTGCTTGTTTTGCACTTTTATTGCGTTACTATTGGATTTGTTGCTCTTTATTTTGTTCCTTACCCTCTTGCTAGTCATTGTTAATTGTTTGCTTAGCTTTGGTGGATGCAAAGGAGATCTCAAGGACCTCCTACTCACTACATTGACTACGAAATCGACTGCACTTTGAGACAAGTCCGAAGACTTTACCAAGAAGAGGGGCGAGGTTTTGGTGATATTTTTGATAGTGAGAGTGATTCTTGGTCTTCAAGTTCTCAAAGCAGGAAATGGCGAGGCAAGAGAATGATATTTTTTTTCGTGAGTTCGGTAATCCGGAGGACTATGAGCTAACCAGTGGGATATTGCTACCCATCACGGAAACCAACTTCACCATTCATCCTCAATATACTAGAATGGTTTCAGCGGAGCAATTTTCGGGTTCTCCAAGTGAAGATCCTATTGAGAACCTTGATAGATTCCTCGAGCTTTGTGCCATGATACAAACCAATCAAGTTTCTCAAGAATACATCCGAATGCATCTATTTTGACAATCTCTTGCGGGTAGAGAAAAGAAGTGGCTCAAGCAAGTGAAGCCTAATTCTATCACACCATGGAAGGAGATAGTCAAGGCATTCTTGAAGAGATTCATTTCTGAAGAAAAGACTGCCGAGATGACAAGCAAAATTGCATCGTTTGAACAAGAAGCGGATGAGAGTCTTAGTGAAGCTTGGGTAAGGTTCAAAGAGTTGGTTCAAGCATGTCCTCATCACGAATACAATCAAAGCTTGCTCATGAGGTTCTTCTACGATGGTTTGGAGCTTATGTCTAGAGCTAACTTGGATGCGGAGGCGGGTGGACAATTTATTAAAGTCCCACAAAATCAAGTTGAAGTAACAATTAAAGAGGTAGTGAAGAACTAATCTTGGGGTGGTAGAAGGAGAAATGGACTAAAGAAGGGTGGAAAGTATGAGTTGGAGAAGGTTGATCAATTGCAACATCAAATCGAACTCTTGACAAAAGGGCTTGCAAAGTTAAACACGAATGTCAATAGTGGGGCAAGCTCCTCCCAAGTCAACTCTTTCTCTTATCAAAATTGTGGTGGCACAAACCACGATACATCTTATTGTGGAGGTTTGAGCCCGTAGCATGTAGCGACTTATAACACAAGGCAAGATGGATATAGGGGAGGTGGCGGTGGAGTAGCTTGGAGACAACCACCACCCGGATTTGCAACCTAACCTCAACAATGGAATCAACAAGCTCAACAACCATACAACTCCAACTCCCAATACCAAAACCCACCTCCATTTCAAACCCAAAACCCAAGGAGAAACTACCCAAGAAACCACCAACATAATAATCAACACCAATACAACAATCAAAATCAAGCGACTCAAAGGAGTCAAGAGCAAGCATCTCAACCCGATTCTACTCAAACCCAAATTCTTCAACAACTTCAAGCCATGAATCAACAAATGCAAGAGGTCAAGGCTCATAACAAGATGGTTGATTCACAACTAGCTCAATTGGTCGAGAGAGTTTCTTTCAACTCTCCTTCTACTCTACCCGGACAATCACAAACCAATCCTTCCAACATTGTGAAACTCGACTCTTGCAAAGCAATCACATTGAGATCGGGGACATCCTATGAGGGTCCCAAGGAGGGGGATAGCAAGGAAAAAAAGGAAGAAGAACAGAGTGTGAGTGAAGATAAAGAAGTTGAAGAATAGAATGTTCATGAGAAAGAGAGAACTATGGAGAAAAAGAAGTCTAAGGATGTGGTGACATCCTCAACTTCTAGTCAGGGTAAAAATCTTGATGGACCGGTTTCCTTTCCCAGTCGATTTGCGGAGAGAAAACTGAATGACAAATTTGCAAAGTTCCTATGTGTGATGAAGAACTTGCACATAAACCTCCCTTTCGTAGAAGTTGTCACATAAATGCCTTCATACTCCAAGTTCTTGAAAGAAATTCTCACCAAAAAGAGGAAGCTCAATGATGAGCTTATCACTCTCCCCCATCAAGTGAGTGCACTTGTTCAACATAAGATGCCCAAGAAGTAAAAGGATCCGGGAAGCTTTACTTTGCCAGTAAAGATTAGGAACATGGAAGCTAAGGGCGCCTTAGCCGATGTTGGAGCAAGTGTTAGTTTGATCCCTCTATCCATTGTTCAAAAACTTAATATTGAGATGATCCCCACAAGGAAAACAATTCAATTGGCCGACCGTTCGGTGAAGCTTCCTTGTGGTGAGCTTGAAGATGTCCCTATTAAAGTTGCGCATATCTATGTGCCTTGTGATTTTGTAGTGATGGATATGGAAGAAGATGTGGATACTCCCTTGATTTTGGGCCGTGAAGCTCTTAAGACCTTGGGGGCGGTAATAAATTGCAAGAACAACACCATTACATGTGAGGTAGCCGATGAAAAAAATTATTTTTGAATTCTCTAAGTTACTCAAGACCTCCATGGTTCAGAAGTGTTATAGGGTCGAGTTTGTGAATGAGAAATTAGATTGTTTGGGAAGGGTTGTGATGATCCCTCAAGATCCAATGGTCGAGGCTCTTACATGCGAAGAATAGTACCACTCTCAAGAAGCAAAGGAGTTTGCCATAGCCATTTAAGAAGCCAAATAGGAGGAAGAGGATGATCCTAGGGATGATGAGCTCGAACTAGCGGAGGAAAAATTGGAGGAGAGTTCCAAGCCTCCTCCCAAGGTAGAACTCAAACCCCTTCCCCCTTCTTTGAAATATGCTTATCTTGCAAATGAAGGGGAATACCCTATTATTGTCAATGCTACCCTTGATGGGCTTAAATTGGAAAAATTGCTTGTTGTTTTGAGAAAATATAGAAATGTGATAGGGTATAGCATTGATGATATCAAGGGTATTAGCCCTTCTTTGTGCATGCATCGTATTCACCATGAGGATGATCAATCCACCTCGATTAAGCTTCAAAGGAGGTTGAACCCCAACCTCCGAAAGGTTGTCAAGAAAGAAAATTTGAAATTACATGAAGCGGGCATAATCTATGCTATCTCCAATAGCAAGTGGGTTAGCCCACTTCACGTGGTTCCAAAGAAAGGTGGAATGACCATTGTCAAGGGAAAAGTAGGAGAGGAAATCTCCACCCGGACGGTGACCGGGTGGAGGATGTGCATTGATTATAGGAAGTTGAACAAAAACACTAAGAAAGACCATTTTCCTCTCCCCTTCATGGACCAAATGTTGGAGAGACTCTCCCATCATGCTTTCTTTTGCTTCTTGGATGGATACTCCGGATTTTTCAAAATCCCTATCCATCCAAGTGATCAAGAGAAAACTACTTTTACATGTCCATATGGGATATTTGCATACCGAAGAACGCCATTCGGGTTATGCAATGCTCCCTCAACTTTCTAACGATGCATGACGTCCATTTTTTCCGAAATGCTTGATATTGAAATTGAAGTTTTTATGGATGATTTTAGTGTTGGTGGCTCATCTTTTGACACATGTCTTTATAATCTTGAAAAAGTTTTGAAAACGGTCAAGAGACGAGTTTGGTGTTGATTTGGGAGAAATGCCATTTTATGGTCAACGAAGGTATTGTCCTAGGCCATAAGGTATCAAAAAGGGCATTTAAGTTGATTTGGCCAAAGTTTTGATGATTTCTAAGTTTCCCCCTACTACTTCCGTTACGGGAGTGAGAGCCTTTCTTGGGCATGCCGGTTTTTACCGGAGGTTTATCAAGAATTTTTCATCAATCGCCAAACCTTTGACCGAATTACTCAAGAAAGATGTTGTGTTCAATTCTGATGGGGATTGTCTTGAGGCATTCAAAAAACTCATGGAAGCCCTCATTTCTTCTCCTGTTGTGCAAGCTCCGGATTGGAGCTTGCATTTTGAGCTAATGTGCGATGTGAGTGATTTTGAAGTAGGTGCGGTTCTTGGGAAAAAAAAAAAAGGAAGATCTCATGTCATTTACTATGCAAGTAGAACACTTGATGAAGCTCAAATGAATTACACAACAACGAAGAAGGAAATGCTTGTCGTTGTGTTTGCCATGGACAAGTTTAGGTCCTATCTCATATGTTCCAAGGTGATTGTGTACACGGATCACATAGTGGTCTGCTACCTTATGACCAAGAAGGAAGCAAAATCGCGTCTCATCCGTTGGGTACTTTCGCTCAAAGACTTTGACATGGAAATGAGGGATAAAAAGGGACCGGAGAAATATGTAGCGGATCATTTGTCTAAGGTTCCTTTTGAGTATAAGGAGGATGTGCCAATCAATGAGGATTTGGAATTTGAAACCCTCATGGCTATGGCTTCAAAGTCTAGCCCTTGGTACGCGAACATAGCCAACTATCTCGCTTGTGGAGTCGTTCCTCCGGAGCTCTCCTCTCAACAAAAGAAGAGATTTTTCAAGGAAGTGAGGAGGTATTTCTGGAATGACCCTTACTTGTTCAAGCAATGTGGAGATGGCCTTTTCCAGAAATATGTTCCGGACCATGAGATCGAAGGAGTTCTTGAGCATTGTCACTCATTGCCGTGTGGAGGACATGGGGGTGTAGAAAAGATGGTGGCGAAGATCTCTCAATCTCTTCTATGGTGGCCAACAATGCACAAGAATGGCCACAAGTTCCATTCAAGGTGTGACAAATGCCAAAGAAGTGGTGGCATAACCAAAAGGGATGACATGCCAGAACAAAACATTTTGGAGGTGGAGCCATATGATGTTTGGGGTGTCGACTTCATGGGGCATTTTGTCTCTTCTTGTGGAAACCTATATATCTTGGTGGTAGTGGACTATGTGACCAAATGGATTGAAGCTATACCCTCCCCCACCAACGGCCACAAGATTGTGCTCAAGCTTCTTAAGAAGGCCACATTCCCGCGATTTGGGGTTCCTAGGGTGCTAATCAGTGATGAAGGTTCTCATTTTGCCAAGAAATAATACAAAGCTCTTCTCAAGAGATATGGGGTTCATCACAAGCTAGCCGCGAGCGCGCGCCTCACAGCCGTGAGCGCGGATAGGAGGTTGCTGAGCTATGAAGCAGATTCTGGAGATGGCTGGGAGATGGCCAACCGCGAACGCGGTAGAGAAGACCCACGGGCGCGGCGCTCTGGGTCTAGCGAACTTCTTACCAAGCTTGGAGAGGGCGCGGAAGCCTGTTCGGATAGCCCTCTACCTTGCCCATTTTCCTCATTATTATAGGACTATAAATAGTCTTGGGCTTGAGTTTTCATGGATCAACTATTTTGCCATCAAAACACTTTGTACAAAGAGAAAATGCATGTCTTTTAGAGAGAGAAAACACTTAGTCTTCAAGATTTAATCTTTGTAATCAAATATTCAAGCTTTGTTCTAGATTGTTGCAACAACTTTGATGATTGGTTAATCCTTCAACATTTATAATAGTAATCTTTTATCTTATTTCTCTAGTACATAGTTTTATTGTTCTTATTCGTATTTTGTTCATAAATTTCTATGCTTTATTAGTTTAATTGATTTCTCTTTGACTTAGAATCATGCTAGGTTGTGTTAGTATTGAATATATGTTTAGCTTATTTGTCATGGCTATTTTTCTTTCTCTAGCTTAGATTTTTAGCTAGGGAAGGGGGTGAAATTCATGTCTATTTGAGTTCCTATTGATTATTGATTAGATTTTACCTTAAGTTGATGATTTGTGCTTAAATATGCTTGGAGTCATTGTGTGCACCTATAACCCCAATGTTTTTACTCCTAGATTATATGCATGAGAATGATCTATGTTTAGGTTTGATTGACTTCATCAACTTGCTTTGAGTAGTTTCATGAGAATGAATTGCTTTGAGTTGAGTTTGAACTCCTTGGTATATTTCGTCATTGATTTTCATTAGTGTCTTGTTGGTTATGATTGGAACCCACTCTCCCTAGTGCTTTTTGCCATTTTTATCTCTAAAATCTTGCTATTCATCTTCATTTTAGAGTGTCTAGTTTAATCTTCTTATTTTTGGTTTAATTTTATCTCTTTTTGTAGATAGATTGATCATAGAACTCTTCAAAAACAAACCATAATACCCCTTTTTGTTACTTGCAATATATCCTAGATTTCGTATTGATTGTGCAATACCCCCGTTTCCTTGGGATTTGACTCTAACTTGCCACTATCTAAATTAAAATTGATAGAGTTAGGTTAGGAGATAAAAATTGTATATTTGATCTAGGTAGTAGTAACGACCTATTATCCCTCGATGAATCTCAAGTGGTCATTGATCGTCCATCATTTAAATGACCTTGATTAGGGATAATTTTCGATTGAAATATTTAATGTTCACTTAAAAAATGTTTCTTTATCTAAGACATGGTCTTGATACCTTGTTTTGAATATTCTCATAAATCGAATGGACTCATTATTTAATTCTAAACCATAATTAAATAGAAATAGAGTAATAATAAATTTGCAGAAAATTTTAATTGGTCCAAAACCGAATGGTTCAACATAGTGTTTTACATTCAAATCACAAATTTAATTTAAAAAATAACATGGAAATCAAAGCTAATCTCAAACGTGTTTGATTCCCATTGCCTTAACATGCTTGTTGTGCTTCACTTGAGGCAAAGGTTTAGTGAGTGGATCAGCCACATTGTCGTCCATCCTAATCTTACAAATTCTGATTTCTCCCTCGGACTTCCATTCCCATATCATGTGAAATCGCCTCTTGACATGTTTGACATTCTGATGCTCCCTTGGTTCCTTCGCCTAAGCAATAACTCCATTGTTGTAACAATAGAGGTCTATCAGACCCTTGATGGAGGATACAACATCAAGTTCACTAATGAACTTACGAATCCAAACTGCCTCCTTAGCTGCTTCTAAAGTTGCCAAGTACTCGGCTTCAGTTGTAGAATCTGTAGTGGTGCTTTACTTAGCACTTTTCCAACTAAACGCTCCTGCATTTAGGCAGAATATGTACCCTGACTGCAACTTGGAGTCATCTCTGTCAGTCTGGAAGCTCGCGTCGGTATGAACTTCAACAACCAAATCATTACTACAACCATAGACTAGAAAATTATCCTTGTTCCTTTTCAGGTACTTTAGGATAATCTTGGTCGTAGTCTAATGCGCCTCTCCAGGGTGTAATTGGTATTGGCTCGTAGCACTCAAGGCGTACGATAAATCTGGCTTAGTACATATCATGGTATACATGATTGATCCAATAAGCGAAGCATATGGAATCTGATTCATTCTCTCACGCTCATCAGGTGTCTGTGGATGATAAGTGTCATTTATGACACATTTTAGGGTGTTTTTCTCCCTTAGTTTTAGGTTTATTTCCATGTTTCTTTGTTATTTCTATTCCTTTTAGTCTTGTTTTAGTTATCTTTGTCTTAGTTTAAGGTTTGAGGCCTTATTTGTGAATAATATGCATTATGACCCGAGAAAAGGCAAGAAATTTCAATAGAAGAAGCTTGAATCTAAGAAAGAATCTAAGAAGCTTGAGACAAGAAAGCTTGAAGCTCGTAGAAGGCCTTAAACCGAGTCTTGCTCACTCTTTCAGCAATAACTTTTGATCTACAAATTGGATTGAGGAGATTCAAATTGCGTTGGAAACTATACTTGAAGAGCTTTTCAACGGTAGGTTGCACACCCTAAGAAGCTTCCTAGAAAAGAAGTTATGGCTGTTTGAATCTGCAAGACGCTGCTAGGCTCCGCTGGCGCGGCCTTCTGTTCTTCCCAGGCGTTGCAACTTTCTTGAGATGCCTCGGAGAAGCCTTGCCGCGAGTGCGGGTTTCTAGGTCTTGTACGAGCTTAACTTTCAGATTTCTTTCTTTCTCTTCTAATAATATAAATGGAGGAATTCTTAGCCTTCCGAAGGGTGGAGTGTTTGGGGTCTTCTCTCCTCCTTCAGGGGATGAAACCCCAATGCTTTCTCCATCATTTCACCACTTATATTAGGGCTTAGATTTAGTTTTAATCTTTGTTTTGTAATTTAGTTTAAGAGTAGCTTAGAGAGAGAAAGTGAAGAGCTTCAATGGTGGATTGAGGAGGTTGAAGATGCAAAATGTGACATTGTTTTGGATTCCTTTTCAATACTTCAGTGATCATTCTAAACTCTATCTCAATTTTATTGTCTTCTTTACTTATTGCTTTCTTTGGTTTATTGAATGTTTAGAGTAGTTGATTATTTCAATAATTCCTCTTTGTTGCTTTTCCCTTGTTCTTCATTGTTCTTGTTCTTAGTTTCTTCATTGTTCTTCTTTATTGGTTAATGTTAGTTGTTCATTTTAGTTCAGTTTGTGTTAGTTTCATTGTCTTGTTGATTTATTCATGTTAGTTTAGTTTCCTAGCTAGGGTTAGGGATGATTGTTGATTAATGTGCAAAATGAACACTTTATTGATGGTTTGATGGGGATTGTTGGTGTATTGAACTAAGAATGAAGGGCTTAATGCTTGGTGTCTTTTTAGCCAATCGATATCATGATTTAATTGCTATTATGCTAGTTGTGCGAGAATGAGGTAGTTTAATAGAAGAATTTCATTGCTTGGTTGACCAAGACCTCATAGGCGGGGTTGAGATTCTAATGGCCTAGTGTGTGCAAGAGTGACCAAGGTTGTTAGGAAATTCTCCAATTTCATCTACTTGACCGTTTAGATAATCAATAGTGTTTGTTTGCGTTTGATTAGTGCTAGTATATCGGTGTGTATGGTTATTTCTTGATGATTTGGATGTGCTCATTGAGGTGTATTAATGCTTGATTTTTTTTTTGGTAAGTAAGAAAAATTTTATTACCAAAAAAAGAAAGAGGGCAAGCCCTCACTCCAAATACTACAAAGAGCAAAAAACCGGCCAAAAAATATCCACCAAAAAAGAAAAAAGCTATACAAACAGGCCTAAAAAACCAAAGCCTAAATTAGCTTATCACTATACAACTAATATGATAAAGCCATTTACAATTCTCTCTCCTCCAATGACTATCTACGAACTTCCTAGCTCTACTTACTACCTCAAATTGTATTACTTTACAAATGAATTTAGGATAAATGATAGCTTTGTTCCAGAAGCTTTGATTTCTAGGCATCCAAATATGGTAAATAACAGCAACCAGAGCAGCTAAAGCGCACTTCCTCCTGATAAGGTCACCCACCTGTCCTCTCCAACTATTCCAAGTGTCATCAATAGAAAACAGTTGTTCTTGGATTCCCAACCAAGTGCTAATCAGAGTCAAACATTTCCTACTGTAGGGGCATTTAAAAAACAGATGATCTCTGTTTTCCTCTTCCTCCCCACACAGCAAACAGATAGGACCATCACAGACCCCAACATTTGCTAAAATCCTCCTAGTTCTAAATTTGTTCAATACAGCAAGCCAGGATATGAAGGTGTGTTTTGGAACATTGAAAGAGTTCTAGATCCACTCATGCCAATCAACTGCGTTCATATTACCTTGAAGCCACTTATAAGCCTCGGAAATTTTGTAACTACTATTCAGCCACCCATTCAGCTCAAAACCAGTCTTCAATTCATCCTTAATTACACAGAGCTTTTTCCTAGCCCAGCCTCCTGATTTCTTTGGAATGTAGCTCCACCCATCCTGGCCCTTTATATATACAGCATGAACCCAGCGCACCCATAGGGACTCTACTTGCATGGCAATATTCCAGACGTACTTCCCCATAGCAGCTTTATTCCATATCACACAGTTTTTGATCCCTAAACCACCTTATTTCTTTGGTTTGCAAATCCAATCCCAAGCTAAAGGGGGGGTTTTCTTCAGTATTGCATCACCACCCCACAAAAAAGCTCTACATAGTTGAGTTATTCTATTCATCACACCAGCAGGGAGTAACAAGCACTGAGCCCAATAGGTATGCATACTCAAAAGCACAAAGTTGATAAGCACTGCTCTGGCAGAATAAGATAAGTGCCTGCTGGACCAGCAAGAAATCCTAGAGAGAATCTTATCAATTA